GCTCAGAGACTTCACAAAGCTGGAGGTAACCCAAAACCAGTGGTTGGGGCAGAAGCTGATTGGCTGCCTGTTACAACGCTCCTAGAAACAGAAACTGAAATTCAAGCCTAGTCAGGTAAAAGTTAAGACTAAAGCCTGTCATGAAGTCAGTCTGGAATTAGGCCCTCTCGGCAGTTAAGAGCTTATGCTGCTTTTGCAGAGGACCAGAGTTTGGTTCCCAGCACCCACATCAGATGGCTCACGGCTGAATATAACTTCAGCTCCAGGGAGAGCCAATCATTCTGGCCTCTACGAGCATCAGTGCTCTGAACATAGCTCACAAACACATAACTGAAATGACAAAAAATTAATTTAAAATTGGAACAAATTCTTATATGTTTACTATTTTGTGTGCATGCATGCATATATATACGTATGCAGATGTGTGTGTCTATGTATTGTAATGTTCGTGTGAGTATGTACGAGTGTTTGGAGGTCTGAGGTTGGCGTTGAGTTTCTTCCTCAACTGCACTTTTAAGAAGTCTCTATCTATCTATCTATCTGTCTGTCTGTCTGTCTACCTACCTACCTACCTTTCTATCTCTGTCTGTGTGTCTCTGTATCTCTGTGTCTATGCCAGTACCTATCCCTGTCTTTCTCAGGGATCCTTCTCCTCCTCAGTGCTATGATTACAGAAATTTAGAGCCATGCCCCATTTTTATGTGGAGGCTGGGAATGTAAGTCATGGTTTCGCAGCAACGCTTTCCTGACGTTCCCTCGCCACCACCACCCCCACACACGTCTGTTCCTATATTCAAAGCGTTGTGCCCAAATCGCCAGACCCCAAAAGACCACCAACAGGAGTCGAGTCCGCTGCAAAACACATGAGGATCTTTTTATTACAAATTATTACAAGATGCAGCTTGGGCAAGTAACTATTGCTTGAAACCACCACCTGGCAAGTATCTATTGCTTGAAACGCAAAAGGGCTATTGCATTTTGAATTGATTGGCTATAGGGGAGGTCCCCAAACCATTAATGATTTGGTGTCCCTCCCTAGGGGGATGGGCCAGTTTCCTAGCAACTTTATCTCTAGTGGGCAGGAAAAGAATGCAGTATGGGGAGTTTTTCCCCTTAGGGCTCCACCCGGCTAGCCTTAGTTCAGGCCTGTGCTTTAAAATTTAAAATAATAGCCACTGATTTTCAGTCTCTTGGTCTCTCAACAGCATTCTGTCTTAACGATATTAGTTACAGTGAATCCTGATGTGAGGTAGTTTGTTTCAATCTTAAAACTTTCCTTCTCTTTTCACACCTGCTGTGGCTACTTTAGGCTATTTGTATTTTCAAATGAAATTTATAAAAATGTTTCAAATTTCTATGATATTCTTTTGGTATCTTGGTTTTTCTGATGGTACTTCATTAAACCTGATGTGCAATTAAATGAAAATTAACAATTCTAACAATGAGTTTTAAAATCCATTAACATGACCTGTTTCTCCTGCACAACTAAATTGTCTTAATTAATTCTTTTAACTAATTAAGTAATTTTTTTATTTTAATGTAACATTATACATATATGTTGTCACTTTCATTCCTAAGTAAGAATCAGTATGTGTTGTAATGGAATTATTTTGGGTTGTAAATCTAGTCACAATTTGCCTTCCTTTCTTCATTCCTTTCTCTTTAAAAAAAAAAAAAGGTAATTTTGTGGGTTTGGGATGGAAGCTTTTGCATATTTTTCTTATAGACCTTTGTAGAGAAAATATCTTGTGTATTGTATGAATGCATCACCTGTCAATTAAAAAACCTATGGCCTATAGGAAATGTGGGGCATCCAGGAAGGAGAAAATATTCAAGATTTTCCGGGTAAGATGTGCAAATGACAGACACTTGATAGCTGAGCAGAGGTAACCAGACATGTGGCAAAATGTAGATTAGAATAAGTTATGAGCTAATTAGAGAAGAGCCTAGCTATATGACCCAGGTATTTTTTAATGTATTTTGAGTCTCATGAATCATTATTCCAGGAGCTTGGGGCAGAAAGAAAAATCCCCACAACAGGCCCTAGTTACTCTCTGGTTTTGATTCTCTTCACTCTGTCACAGTGTGTTCCTCTTAAATATAATGACTTCGTGTGTGTGTGTGTGTGTGTATATGTGTGTGTATGAGTGTGTGTGCTTGTGTTAGCAAATGTTTGTGTTTAGTTGAAGAATTCTATCTTATCTTGCCTTATTGTTAAAAAGTTTCTCCAGATATAAATCATTATTTGGATATTTTTTCATGTTGTTGTTGTTTGGGGGTTTTGTTTGTTTGTTTACTTTTAGTGTTTGAAATATGTCATGGAAACCATTATCAGCTCCCATTACTTCTGAACAAGAAGTCAGTCATTAGCCATGTTTCCTCATGTTACCTAATGTTTCCTCATATACAAGGTCATTTTTATTTGTCACTAATATCCCTAGTCTTTACTATCTAGCAGTTAAACTGTAACACTGTGTGGGTTTTTTTTGCATTTGTTTTATTTGGCATAAACCTTTGTGGTTGCAGATTACTGTCTTCAACCATATTCAGGGAGCGCTGGGTTACTATTTCTTCAATTCGCTATCAGAGCTGATCCACTTTTAGCATTATACTGTGACATCATCCCAAAGTGTGGGCCTGGTTCTTCCCCATATTGGGATGCAACCCCCAGGCAACAAGGTAGACTGCCCTGGGTTAGTGTTTATGCCTTTGGTAATTTTCTATTTTGTCTTATTTCATATTTTCTGAGTGTGTGTGTGTGTGTGTGTGTGTGTGTGTGTGTGTGTGTGTGTGTTCTGGAGGTTTTCTTTAATATTTTCTATCTTTATTCCGATGGAATAATTTCTATTAATCAATACTTAAATTCCTTTATCCTCCTTCTACTTTCTCAAATCAGCTATTATTTCTCATTAGATTTGTATTTCTTATCTTATGTGAACGAGCATTTGCCTGTATGTATATGGGTGTGCCATGTGCCTTCAGTACCCACGGAGGCTCAAGGAGGACATTGCCCTTTAAAGAGACAAAAACAGGAAAGAACTTTTAAGCCCTTTTATTTCATCTGAGTTTAGCCATTGATCAGCAACATCCTAAAACGTTGGCCTTGGCTCAAATACTATGCTAGCGCTTCTCCTGGAGGTCTGCATTCTGTAGTAACAGCAAACTCTTCCTTAGAAGGGCCTATGCGGTCCTCTACAACCTTGAAATTAATAGAAGTAAAAAGAGACAAAGTGAACTAGCAGAAAAAAAAACTGGCATCAGAAAATTTGAATCAAAAAACATCTGGCACATAGTTTAAAATTAACTATGTCATCCATTGTTTGTTACTTTTCAAGTCTATAATGTGAAAATGATAATTATCTTTTGGATACCCATTGAACAAATGAGTAAAATTATTATGAGAATTAAATGACACAACACTTGGGAAGCACCTAATAAAGTGTTTAGCAAATAAAAGAAAACATATGAAAGTAACAAATCACTTTAATTTTTGGTTTATGAGAGATAAGAAACTCTATCCTCAGCTTTGATGGAATATCTTAAATAATTCATTTAAATTATTTAAAATGAATTTTAAAATCATTAAAAAACATTTAAATTGTTCTCTTGAACATTTTATGCACAATAGCAACACTATGGCATGAAAATGACTTCTTCACTTTGCAGCAACTTGATTTTCCTTTTTGCTGATTCACAGGGTCCTTTGCCCATTTTGGCAGGACTGATATGAAAGCCATGAGGGAAAGTATGCTTGTCCTAACAACTGTACTATTTGGCAGTGAGTCAATGCTTATGATTTGGGGCATAGGAAAAATTGTTTCTGTGGGTAAGCCATTCTCCCAAAAACCCTTTTCAAACCAGCTCTATTCTCTGGCAACGTGCCATGCCTGAATCCACTCGTACATAGAGAGAAGAATTGCTCTCAATGATTTATTGACACAGAGCTGTCTTAGCTCAATGGTGTAATTTTCATCTCAGCTATAATTGACCCTTTCATTTAAAGCAATTAAACATATTGTTGTAATTATTCTCTACTTTTGGCAAATTACATGATCATAATTACCATTCTACATATTCTTAATATCTAAAGCTATAATAATGACAATGGTAATAATAAAGGTATAATAGATTTGAATGCACCTTGCTTGGGTATGCTGTTGTTTATCGTCACGCTACTACAGTAATTTTACTGTATAAATGTCCAACTACAGGTTTGGTTTTAATTTTTTAGAAATAAGTATTTCTTTGGAAGTTTGAATCACAGAGACATTATGGAATCATAAAATATTAACATTTCTCTCTCTCAGGTATATATACGTACAGTGTGTACGTCTGTGTCTGTGTTCACAATTGTGCGGGCGCACATGTGACTAAAAGTTTGTGTATATGTCTATATGAGGAGGCTTGAGACTGACATCATTCACTGAGTCGAGGTCTTTCAGTTGATCCCAGAGCTTGCTCTCACAGCCCGTTTGACTAGCTAGCTTGTTCTGAGGGTCCTCCGAGTGTCATCTGAGTGCTGGAATTACAGACACACAAGACGCATTCCTGTGGCGTCTGGACATCTGATCCGCAATCCTCATGCTTACATGGGCTGCTTTTGACCATTGAACCGTCACCTGTATGTGTGTATGTGTGTTTTGCTTAAATGTACACCCGTGCAATGAGTATATGCGTGGTGCCCACAGAGCCAGCAGAAGACATCAGATTCCTTGGAATTGGAGTTGGGGACAGCCAAAAGCACTGCGTGAGGGCCGAGAACTGGACCGCGGTCCTCTGGAAGAGCATCCAGTGCTCTTTACTGCTATGTCATCTCGCACTTCTATCATTACTCACATCTTAAATACGATACATTCTTGTAAAACTAGTGTCTATATTAGAGGCATGCGTTGATAATAATTTAGCATCCACCAACTACTACAGAAAAGATCTGAGTTCAGTATTGTGTTTGAGTAAGGACCCTATCATTGAGCAAATCATTTGGATTATAAAGACATTTTGTGCTCATTTCAGTAGTGCATGTGCTGATATTGGAGCAGTACAGAGAGTACCATGTCCCCTTCACAATAATGACATGCAAATTCATGAAGCATTCCACATTTTTCTATGAGATTGTGTCTGGCAGTAATGTCAGAAGCTTCACCAATGGAGTCTCATCACCATGACTGCTTTCACATGAGCTGAACAAGGGCAACAACAACAGACAGGCCAAAGTGAACAGGAGAAAATCCACCAGGCCTCAACTTTACCAAAAGTACTACAGACAACTAAAGAATGCTGAGAGCAGGAGAAACAGTCTTTCCCAGGGAAGAGCAGACGATTGGTTAACCAATTCTAAATTGTGAGCCCTGAAAACATACATACAAGAAACATTTCGTAGATTGAGCAGGGTCCGTTTATGTTTTTAGAAACATATGTGTATACACACACATATGTATGTAACAACAATTCATGAAAAAAGAAGACATGAATTTAAAAGAGAGCAAGGCACAGTATACGGGAGGGTTAAAGAGAGGAAATGGAAGTGGAAATGATATAACTGCATTATAATCTCAAAAATAAAAGAAATGATTTAAGAAAGAAAGAAGAAAGAAAGAAAGAAAGAAAGAAAGAAAGAAAGAAAGAAAGAAAGAAAGAAAGAAAGAAAGAAAGAAAGAAATCCAGTTCTAATTCTTTGTCCACTGAAGGGGGAGGGGTAACTCACAAATAAACATATTTAAATATAACAAAGAGATATATTTTTTCTTATGGAAAAGAACACTTTCAATACTATGTAACTACAGAAGAGCAAACTAGATACCATTTTGGTCCTAAAATAGTTTTCTGATACATGGGGATTGTTAGTAATAAATGTTAGATTTTTGCCTTTGGTTCTGAGTTGGGATTCCTGACACTGTGAAACATTCTTCAGACAAACAATTTAAGAGAAACAAGATTCACATTTCCTTATAGTTTGAGGACTTTGGTACACAGTCATCTAGCCTGCTTGCTTTTAGGTCTTTGGGAAGGCTTAAGCAACATGGAGGAAAGCTACGCATTTGCCACACACTCAGAATTTACCTCTGTACTCAGAGAGACTGCTTCCTGGGAGCAGAGAGCACATTCTTCGGTGTACTTTGGTGCCATCTGAAAGCGTCACTGAAACTCCCTTAGACTGTCTATGTGTGCCCACTCACCTCATGTCATATTCCCAAAGCTAACCCAGTTTTCCGTGCTCCTTCCTCTCTGCATGCACAGCCATTTCCCTTAATAAAACCCTGTTTTGTTATCTGGTTCTTGGTGTTTCTATAGTAATTCATTCCACTTACAAGATCTTACCTACAAAGCATGGCTTCCACCTACTTTTCCCTATCCCCCTTAAATAATGCTTCCTCTGGTAATCTCTTCCTTAAGGACAGCAAACTAAATGAATAATCAACCACACAACCAGCCACCCAAGAAAGTAAGCTTCCCCAGCACAATCTTCTCAGTATACTAGAAATCATTTGGGATATAAGTGTTTAAAAATACATTATGATGAAATAATGAAAATCACCAGTACACAACATCACTCCCCCTTCTCTTTTACTCCTGACAAATAACACTGCAGTCAAATGATGCTCAAATGATGTTCTCCTTGCCTCTCTCTGTCTCACCTCTCCTGGTCTACTGAACTCATATTTATATTTTTGCCACTAACATAGATATCTACTTCCCAGTTTATTTAGCTATTCAGATGCAGAGTGATAAGACTAATTGATGTACATCCCACAAGTTTTCAAGTTCTGTAAGGACAGGTGGCAATACCGTTTAGCTATATGGGCTGCACAGATCACTTCATGCCATTATGAGAAGAAAACAGAGTTGCTGGTGTGGGCAATGAGATCACCATCATACTCTCAAAGAGACTAGCACATTAACAAAGAAGAAAGCTGTGGCCAACTGATGTTCAAAATGTTTCCCATGGACGTAATACAAACCAAGTCCAGGAAAATAAATCTTTGCCAATTAGATCCATAATGTGTGAATAACAAAGGAGAAACAAGTTTGATCTGAATTGACCCAACGAGGGAGATGGTTTGACAGTGAGTTATTTCTCACTGTTATACCTTATGGAGTTATTCCTAGATAATTTGATCAAATGATAAAATATACTGAGTAAAACGTTATTAAACCCTATTGAAATAAATAATAACACATTTTTACACCATTTATGGAGCACTCTGTGTTCAACTGAGAAAAACAACAACACCATGTAGCTGGCATCCCACGAAGAGTGAGAACATCCCTCATCTTTGTAAAGGAGAGCTGTCCTCCATCACTTTTGAGCCCATGAGCACCATTGGGTGCTATACAATGGCGACTGAGTGTCTACACAGCTAAAGTTACATGAGACCAGGCAAAATGTCAGGGCATAATCAAGGATACAGTGTTTGATGAGAGGTTTCTGGGCTTTATTCAAGCTACTAATGAATGTAACTAATGAAGCCAACATGAAGCCCATCTACTCTCCTCCTGTATTTCATTTTCATGCTAATGATGTTGTATGGTTTGCTGCAATGTTTGGCCTATCAGCCTGTGTCTCTGCAGTTGTTTCTAGCTCAGAATTTGTCAATTTTAATACTATTAATTTTCCCATTTCAAGGATTCTCTTAATTATTTTCTCTTATCTTATCTCCCCTAACTGTAGCCTAAGGAAATTTATTTTAAGTTTGGGAACATATTCATCAGAAGCATAACCTTTCTAATGGGTTTAAGCTCCTGGAATTAGAAATTATCAACTTTGGGTGCTGGCAGTGTTCTTAACTTTAATTCTTGATTTTAACATTCTAAGGCAATAGAGCCTTGGGGATGTCAAAGGGCCATGGGTTCTTTATTCCTCATTATTCTGGAAAGTTTCACGTCAATTTTTCATTCAGTTTCCTCTCTGTTTTGCTAACCAGAGTTCCAAACTTGCCTTTTTCTCATTTGTCACCCCACATCTTTCAGACACTATAAATGTATGTGATCAACAGCACAGCCATGCACCAGCCATTTGTCAAGTTAATAGTCCTTTTGCCTTGAAAAGAAATGGAAATATTTCTTGTTCATTCTCTGTCCTCTTCAAAGACCCCTTGAATGCTGCTTGTCTTTTTTTCTTGCCGTTGTTTCTCCAATGTGCTTCATTATTCCTTCAGATTTTTGTATTTTACAATCTTGCAACAGGAAATTGGAAAATGGCTGTTTAATAAGTTTTACTTCTTAGACTTTGACCTGTGCTTCCGCTTATCTCTAACTTCTACTTTCAACTATTATTTGATTCCAGATGTTTTCAGGTCTGCAGTGGCATATGGGCCATTTTACTGCTGATGAATAAACAGTAAAGATTACAAGAACTACAACATAAATCTAGAAAAACTAATCAATCCAGTGTCCTCAGAAAAAAAAACTATTATTGTTTTTCATGATTTACATTTCCAGACTAAATCAGTAGATTTTTCTAAACAAATGTGGGAGTATTGGGTGGAATAAAACACCAAAGAACAAAGCAATTCAGAATGAATCCAAATTCATTCAAATTATTCCCTACATTATTTCCAAGGCAAGAAGAAATAACCACTCTCAGGAACCAGAGACCATGGGTAAGGAGGAAAGCCAGGGTTGAAAGGCAAAACCATTATACCCCAGCCACCAGCTACACCAGCTACTTCTAATAGTAAGCAATAGGATCCTAACTTCAGGAAAGATAGTAGTATACTGTGAGGTGAAGAAAAGGCAAGAAAGCCAAACACATCAGGAAGAGGATTTCCTGTTCCATGTCCAGAGATGTCTACTGTTTGTGCTGGCTTTCCGGCTTCTGCATAGGTTTGATATTAAAATGTGCATGGTTGATTTGAAAGAAAAATGATTATAAATATTGCTGTTTAGTGCCATACACTAACCACAGTTATAGTGAGCGACTGAACTTCACTGGCATGGTTTCAGGTGGAGGTAACTGGACTGAAATATCTGTGTATTTGCACACATCCGCGTGTAGCATACTTCAGAACCAGCTGCAACGCTCAGTACTGCACTCACAGCCTTGCATCTTTTCATTTCTCCCTTTCTGTAGCACCTGGGTGGCATTTTTGCCTCTTTACACTCATTCTAGTTACTTGAGCCAGTTTGGTTATTTTCTAATAAACTCAATCATTTCCACAATGAGCTCAGTAGAAATCCCTTTCTTCGTGGAATTTGATTTCTGCTTAGGGACAACAAATAGACATAAGGAGAGAGAGACAGAGAAAGAGAGAAACAAAATATATAAATAATATTACTAACTCTGGGTGCAGTGGTGCACACCTCTAATCCCTGCACTCAGGAGGAAAAGGCAAGTGGATCTCTGTGAATTCAAGGGCAGTCTGGTCTAGAAAGTGAGTCCAGGAAAGCTCAGGCTACACAGAGAAACTCTGTCTCAAAGAAGAAAAAAATATAAATATATATTACTATTTAAATAATTGTATCAAGAGAGGGAACAAAGATAAACAGGTGTGATGTTCAGATAAGGTGATCAGTTAAAGTCTCAATATAGGAAACAACAGAGCAAAGACCTGAATGAAATAAAAGGAATGCTCAGGGAGCATGTGTGGAAGAATATTGGAGGAAAAGTGTATGCTAAGTGCATTTGTTGCTGAAGCCATGGGTAGCTATGGCCATGACAGCTGGAGTGAAAGAATATGGGAGAGCTGTAGAAAATAATAAAATCTCAACTCTAGCTTTAATGCGAGTGGCAGTTTAAATGCTTCTTGGAAAATAAGATTTCTTGGCTACTACTAGTGAAAGGAGGAAGCCAGTGATCCACTCAAGAATTAATACAAGTTTAGGACAGACAGGCAATAGTGAACACTAAATTCAGAATATGCAGTAAGCTGATATGCTCACTACAGAATAGCATGAAAACTGGAAGATAAAGGGCAGACAAAAAGATTACTCCAAGTTTGAGTCTAAATAACTGAGCGAATGAGATGTGTTGGTGGAGTGCTATATGGTCTTCTAATTCAGAGACTATGAGCATTAATGATAGAAGTAGAAACTTTATCTACTCTCTCTCTCTCACAAACATACATTCTTTAAGAACTGGAATTATACAGTTTTGGTCTCAGTATC